AGCTGGGTTTTACAAAAACTTTTCACTTTAGGCCTCCACCGCCATGTGCAAAAAAAAAAAAGGTTCAATCAGTCAATTTCTACTTTTCGCGGGGGAAAAAAAGATCTTGCAAAGTTGGAATTGATTGATTGAACTTTTTAGTCCCACCCAGTCTGCCGTTACCACCACAGCCACGCCCACCCAATGGGCCACACCCACCCAATGGGCCACACCCACCCGGCACTCGACGATACATAAGTGGGTTTTGGGTTGCAGTTTCAGCACTCAGTCTCTAAAAGGTTCGCCATCACTGGTATAGCCCTATTACTTTAACTTTATCAGCACTTTTAACAACTGCCAAATGATTGAATGTCTATGGAAATTCTCAATCATCCAGGTCATGGTTGTCCCCAAGATGGGGTACTCTGAGCTAATAACGGACCTTCAGAGGGGTAAGGACTGCTAAAAATATAAACCCTTCCATTCCCCACCATTCAACCAGAACTGAAAAGGCTTCTTGGATGAGAAGCAAAACATTTTCAAAGAAAAAAAACAAAGAAAGATGCCTTTTGAAAAGCACCTTTGGGATGCCAAATGATTTTTTTTTATTTTACAGGAGATTAATAAGTTTTGGAACATATCATTTTGTCCCAAATTAGATAGCCAATGAGCATTAGGTTTGTTTAAAACAATCCAACATCAAATAAATCATTATAAACTTAACCATGGTTAAATATTCTGTACAAATAAAATATTAAGTTAAGGTCTATCAAAAACATGGAATCTACTATTCATCTATCTACTCTTCATACCTGCAATGATTATTCCTCTAATGGTAAACTATAGTTTGTTCCTGTCTCATGAAACTATAAAGTCCAAATAACATTCAGAGTTATAGCCAAGTACCAGGTGATATTAATTCAAATCATTTAGGAGTATCACTATTTTCAGACCAGTAAAAGATAGCCTTTATACACATTTAATGTATTAGACTTCAAACTAGAATCCTACTTGAAAGTAGAAATTTTAATTAAGACAAAATTTAAGTTATCCCTTTGCATTGTTGTGCAATCTAAACCATGGGTGTCAAACTCGCGACGTCACGTGACGTGTCGCAACGTATCACTTTTTTCCCATTGCCGGCAATGGGGTGGGCGCTGTTTTGGTGTGATGCATCCAGCCCGTGGACCGGCAGTTTGACACCCCTGATCTAGACAATGATACCTTAATAAAATGCTACTTCCTCCATCAGAAAAAAACTTCCTCAATTGGGGAGAGATTAGGGTTATCAAAAGGAAGGGGGAGCACATGGCTTGATACTTCATAGCACCTGCTCCTATTTTAACAATGTATCCAACAAAGGATCACTGAAAGTCACTGAACTAATATAGTGAAAAAATATGAAAGAATATAATTTCTATTTTTGGGGGAAAAGGCTTTGTGAAACTAAAGATGCTCTCTATAATTGTGATCTAAGATAACATTATCTAAGTGGAGGCAATTTAATGCTACAGAGTCCCATGACTACGCAAACATTGCATAATACTTCACCTTTGGATGCAATATATCTTGAATGAAGTAACTATGGGGCAAAACAGGCATTTTACTACTGGTAAAGATTTTACAGGGAAAAAAATTCTTTAGGATATATTTCAGTATCTGAAATATCTGGTACAGAACAAAACCCAAAGCAGAGAGCTGCTCATGGATTTATTGTTTTTATAAAAAAGAGAACTACCAAGTCAAGAACTTAAAAATCCTAACAAGCTGCTTGCATAACCATTCAGATGTAGACTCAGTCTGCACAGAGCAACCAAAATTATTTTTTGACACATGATGACATCTTTTTATCAGCACACAGTACACTGAAATATGCTTGTAGGTATTGATTCAAGCAGCTCCATCCTATATTGACAACTTAGATGCAAATGGCAACACTATTTTTATACAGTACTCAAAGGCTGTCTGTAGGCACCAATACATATTCCCTACCATAATTAAAGCATATATATTCAGTTGCTAAAGCTCTTAACTGAGACACCATGCCCGCTCAACTCTATGTATATTTCTTCCAGCTCTTCCTGCTGCATGGACATAGAACAGTAGATCAAAAGCCAGCTTCTCTTCTTTGAGATTACAGTCCACTTCCACAGAAGGTCTGCTGAACTTTTCTATGATCTTCCTAGCATGCACAACTCTCAAGCCCCTGCGGGGTTTGACACTAACTGGGGGGTTCCGTTGGTGGACAGAGCAACTGCAGCTGCCAGAAGCAACGGCGACAGCTTTCAGCGGCATGCTGGGGACTCGGCTAGGCAGCGGTAGCCCTTTGGAGGCCCGGGAGCTGGCTGCCACCTAGCCAACATACAGGACAATGGGGATCGGCCAGAACTTCCTGTTTTGCCAGCTCAGCTGTTCAGCGGGTTACAGAACAGCTGATCGGAGGAGAAAATGGCGGGGGCTTTTGAGTCTGCTCTTGGTCCTTCCTTTCCTTGCTTCCAGGCTTGTAAACTGCATGACTAAGTCCTGGATAGGCTGATTGCTAAAAGAAGAGCCTCGCTGCTGTGGGATGATTGCTTGCTTGCTCCTAATCGTCGCTCCAGATGGTGGTTAGTCGGGCAGGGACGGGTCCAGGCGGGGCACAATATCCATCTATTTAGGGCGCGCTGGGAGGCAGTAGCTCCCAGCGCAGACTTTATTTTGCGATTGCTGGTTAACACTTCACAAGCCAAAGTGTGCCTTTACTTTTCCAGCCTGAATAAACCAAGTTTTCCTTGGACCCAGAGTGACTGTGTTTCTGTTGGATTCAAGTCTGGGCTTGGGACCTTTGACAACAACCTTCATTCTGCCATCAAAAAGATGATTTATCTCTGCTAATACAAATCACACCTTGTAAAAAGACAGTCTGAAACACATTCAATTTCTGATCTCCCAATGTTGATTATGGTTATCCCATGAGTGCCACATCTTCAGATGTTGTTCCAGCTTTCTGCCTTTTTCTGTTTTTAAGTGAATGAATCTCATAGTTTATAGTTGAACAAACAAGCATCCCTCTCTACAACTTTCTTTCTGCCAGGATAGATTTGATTTAAATCAAGTCGATTTAAATTACGATTTAAATGATTTAAATTTACTAGTAAATCATAATTTTTAAAGAGCAACTGTCATCTCTGTCCCACAGCGGCTCCTCCTCTGACTCGCTGTTGACTCACCGACAGTCCCATTCACTTTAATGGGAAGGCTGCTGATGCAGCAGTGACACAACAAGGTGAGGGACGTGGCGGGCAGCAGGTGAGTGGATGCCCACTAACAGGCACTGCCATGATGGATCTGAAATGACAGGTGCTCTTTAAATGTAAGGATTCATTTTTGCTGGTAGTCAGAATCTTTAATATTATTTGCAAACAAAATGAAGGTTTCCTATTTAGAATAATAAGCTGTTAGGTTAGTAAAATAGCGATATCAGAACCGATTCTAGGTTAATAGGTTAATCACATATAGTTGGAAAACTATTCAAATTCTTTTATTTAACTAAAACACTTAAGAGCCTGGTACAGACGCATTTCTCTTCAAACAATCATACAGTTTGTAATGTACATACGTAGATTTGTAAAACAATGGGATAAAGAAATATTCCTGAACTTTGCTTTATGATTTATCTCATGGTTACTGTGAAATTGTGTCAATGCATCAATGCAGTACATGTTATCTCATATTGCAGAGCTTGGATTCATTGAATGAGTTTACCAAAAATGTAATTACAGAATATACAGCCTCATGCTACATAACTAAGCTCCATTTCATGCTGAATGAACTAAATTATTAATGTATTTTAAATAGAAAACTATATTTAGGTTTTTACTCCAAAATCATTTTATTAAAATAAATTTGATAAAAATCAAAAACATCCAATTTAAATTTAAAAAATCCGTTTTTTTATTTTTTTAAAAAATGGATTATTATCCACCCTGCTTTCTCCCCTACTTTTCCCTTTTATAATTCAAAAAATAATTGTTTCTCCCTTTCTGCCCAATATTTTCTAGAAGCACCTTTACCAATGCTATTCTATTCCATTCACATTCAAAACTACATCCTACTTAGTTCTATTTGACCTTTAATTCTGGTTAATATGCAAAGGTTAGCAATATTAAGTATAGTGCCAGGTAAAATTGTTCTCAGCCTCAGGGATCACACTAGCTCATGTTGTAAAGTTTCCCAAAATCTTTACTTGAACTCTCATAAATTCAGTTAGGTAAAGAAAGGTTTCACTATTATTTAATATTAATAATACATTTGTCATCCAAGATACTATGTGCATCACTCGATGAACTGTTATACTGGTAATTTTAATATTATAAAACTGCTGTTAAAGATGAAATTATTGGCACATCAACATACATTTTATTACCCACGTGGGTTTTTTATTAACATCATCATTTCACTGGGAATATACAATGTGTGGGGGAGAAAACTTTGCATGCACTGTATTGCAGTAGTGGCTTAAGTACAAAAGGAAAGAGCTGGAATTTCCTGAATATCATTGCAATCAATGGTTGTGATGTCAAGAAACCACCTGTAGTTCTTTTCAAATTGGCTTTTACAACTCTCAATATTGCGCAACAGCCTTCTGAAGGTGCCACGCATACCATGCCATACCTGAGCTAGTCTCATAGCTAGCAGGTGCTGCAAAATCATTAGGCCAACCAAAACTGGCACCCGGGTCATCACTTCATTCCTCTGGAGCTGTCTCCTCTCAAAACCCGAGGGGACTCCGCCTTACAACAGGCTTTGACTGCAAGGAGGAAAGCAACTCCCTCAATCCATAGGGCCATCCAACGCAAAAACTGGCATGTCTTTTTCCTGGGAGCGGGGAGGGAGGGGAATGAATTTCCGCCAGGCCTCCGCTTCCAAGTCCCGCTTCCTCATACTTTTCACCCAACATCCGCACCGGGGTGCTGCAACTCCAGCGCCCCGACTCTCCTATCCTCCCCTTTCCATCTCAGCTCAAGTCTTCGACCCGCCACTCACCGCCGCGTTGCGCGCTGTGTTTCGCCGGAAGCCCATTGGTGTAGGGCACCCAGATCTTCTGCAAGGGGTTTTGCGCGAGCTCTCGAGCCGGCGAAGCCGCCATTCTCGCCTATGGGGCTGGAGCTCTGCTGCAGTCCCGTCGGCTACGACTGCAAAGCGCGAACGCCCAAGAAGGTGCGCCTCAGCCAGCCAGCCAGGCAGCCAGCTAGCCGGCTTGTGCCCGGTCTCCCTCGGCGACGGGCAGGGGCTGGCAAGGCCATCACGGGGGCGGGGTCTGCAGCAAAGCCCCACCTCCTCAGGCCAGCGCGGAGAACAGGTTGCGGAGCTCGAGGCTGAGGGACTCGCCCCGCCCGGCCCCGCCCCCTGAGCCCTTCACGGAGACAAAGGAGAGCCGCGAAAAGTGGCGTGAACAGGACAGAAACGAAGGCTTTGTTTGCCCCGCCAGCTGGGTAGCAAAACGAAGGGCTTCAGATGCAGGTTCTGTTTTATGAAAGCAAAAGATGCCATCCGCCACCTTTGCGGATTTACTCTGAAGTAAGCCTCCAGGTGTTTAACTCAACTGACGTGCAGGTAACAGCGGATCAAAAACAGTCATCTCTCGTCTTGAAAACGAAACAATATGTCATACGGTTCCCTAAACCACAGCCCATCTAAGTGTCTTTCAGATTTAAAAAAAAAAAAAATGGAAAAGGCTATTCGTCTGAAAAACCTTTTAGATGCCTAAGATTGCAGCCATAATTAAGTCCCTGCTGTTTCTTTTTCATTCTCTAAGACAAGGTTTCAATATGTTCTGGATACATTTAGTGTATTATGCAGTAGTTCAAAATGAAACATGGACAGATTCATCTTATTAACCCCAAGATCTCTGGGAGTTGTAGTGTTGAGGGAAGCTTAGAAATGTATTTGAAAAGTTTAGCAACAAACCAGAAGCACACACTCATTAGCATTATTAAACCACTTCAAATCCAAGACATTCCCTTAAAATACAGTATGTGCATAATCATAGCAAGAGGCAGCATCATTTAGATCAGTGTTTCTCAACCTTGACAATTTTAAGGCATGTGGACTTCAACTCCCAGAATTCCACAGCCAGCAATGCTGGCTGTGGAATTCTGGGAGTTGAAGTCCACATGCCTTAAAATTGTCAAGGTTGAGAAACACTGATTAGATCTTAAAAAAGCTAAGCAGGATCAGTCCTCATTAGTACTTTGATGACAGATGATCAGAAAGTCCCAAGGTTAGAAGCTTATCTTGCCAAAGATTCTGTCTTCTTTCATGTTGGTTTCTTATATTTTATTAGAGTAGGACTGTTAGCAGTTCAGAGGGAAAAGAGATGGGCAATGGCAAAACCATACATCTTTCATTTTTCATCTCAAAGTAGATTGAGACACCACCATGCAGGATAGAAGGGTTTTAACTCATGGATGTTTGCTCTGATCCTGATTCGGAAAGATTGCACATCCACATTCTCTGTAAAGAATCTCTCAAGTTGAGCTAAACCTGTGGTAATTTTTTATTAGCAGCAACATGGAAAAAGTATGTAATTGCTTTCTTTCAGGGTTTCTTTTTAAACATCCCAGGCTAGCCCAGAGTCCTAGGATTCTCTGGTAGATTCCCATGCAAATGATTTTCAGGATCAGCAGAAGGCAAATACAGATTAGAAACTACAGTGGTACATCTTTTATTTTTTATTATATATATTTTTTTTTACTTTATTTACTGTATCCTGCCTTTATTATTTTTACAAGTAACTCAATGTGGCAAGCATATCCAACACACCTTCCTCCTATTCTCTCAACAAAAACCATCCTGTGAAGTGGGCTGGGCTGAGACAGAATAACTGTCCCAAGGTCACCCAGGTGGCTATCATGGCTAAGACAGACTTGAACTCACAGTCTCAAAGCTTTCTAGCCTGGTGCCTTAATTACTACATCAACCTAGCTCTCTCTCTCTATGCCATAATGTATACTAACCTTACCCACTCCCACCTCTGCATGAATATAATTGTAAAGAAATCAGTTTCAAATGTAACTTTAATTTTTAAAAATTAGTATTTTGCCAAGCTAGTAGGAAGACAGATTCTTCCCCAAACTGAATGAGAGGAGAGTTTAATGCTGAAAAAGAACAAATGGACAGGAAGCTATATCTGCTAACATTGATAGTACTGAGAGTTTTGAATATAATTTCAGTTGTCACCAGCCAATTTGGGAAGGGATCTCTGCTGCTTGAGTGGTTCAACTTAAACATTTTACACTACCTAAATGGAGTCTATCTCTTCTATTTACTTTCTGTTATAACATCTTTCCTTATATCTCATACTTCCCAGTATAGTCGTTTCTTATCCAACCCCATCCTAGTTTTTGTATATCTGTTCATTTTGTTTTTGTTTTTCTTCTAATGGGATACATAGCCACATGCATGTTTCTGTGTGAAAAAATAGTTAATATATCCAGATGGGGGTCAATAAATGCAATAATTTATTTTCCAGGCAATTTAATAATTGTTGTATTCCTGGCTCTAGCACAGAGGTCCCCAACCTTTTGGGCATCAGGGACCGGTTCTGTGGAGAGAGGTTTTTCCGTGGTTCTGTGTGCTGCCTGTATCCCACAGATGGGGCTTTGCTTGTTTGTGCAGGCCAGTTGCCGGCATGCCGCAGCCCGGTACTGGTCCATGGACCAGAGGTGGGGACCCCTGCTTTAGCATGTTTAGAAGTATGGCTTCTTATGTTTGCAAGGTGAAAAAGCCAGGTATTATGCAAGTATTTAGGGTGTTCTTTTTAATTCTTTCCCGTCTGCTCTTTCTCCTAGGGAAGAACTATCTTAAATAACTGCTCTGAACTGCCCAGAATTAATGAAGTGCCCAGGATACAAATACTGCAAAACTCAATAAAATACAATAAATATTGTTTTCTGGTAGCATCACAGAGTTTGAAGAGGCCATCACGTCCAATTGCTTATTCAAACCCAGAATAAACAATATGAATAAATTACTAGGCAAAGTCATTAATAACACTAATCTTATAATCTCATAAAATTAATGGATCTATTACATTCATATGTCCTGAGTTATCATCATTTTACTTTTACATTCATAACAGATTTGAAAGCTGGAAAGAGGACCATTTAAACAATATTTACTGTTTTAAATAAAATGTACATTTACTGTTGTGATTATTAATTCATAGTTTTACAAAGAAATAATACAGATCATTCAGAAGATGAACAGATAAAAACTGAATTTATATTACCTACAGTGGCTAAGTAATAAAATCACTTGTTTACTTAGAAGTGTATCTTCCTATTTAAAGCCTTTACAGAATTAAAGAATGTAAGAAGCTGTAACAAATTTGCACAGTAACTCATTAAAACAAATATATTGTGAAATGTTATTAAATTTTTAAAATGAGTAATTGTATGCACATTTACTGTTTTATTATATCATAATCATATTAAGAATCATTCTATCATACTGTAATTATTAAGTGAACATTCTAAATGAAACATATGCTAAACATCATTTCATAACTAATGTCGGAAATCAGAAATGTGGATACTATAAATAATTTTTCTTGTATCTGGTATTAATGACCTCTTCCTTATCAGTTGCTCTTACCTTCTCTAGAAGCTGCAATAATCTTGGTATCTGCTGAATTTGTTAATTTGTTCAATTAACATAGGAAGAAAAACTGGTGTTGGGGGAGTAGCATTTATATATCTAGTCCTCTGTCAGTTCCCAAATAGGAAAGAGTCCATTTGGAATTCTTCCAGGAATTAATGTAAAATAAATGCCAGGAGTTTGAACAAATGCTACCGCAGTCTTAAGAGACATAACAGTTATCTCATTATTTAATCACTACAATAAATGCTTCATCACTATTTTAATTTAATCAGCCTCAAACACTCAACTAAGGTAGCAAAATAATTGATTCTTCATTTTTCAAAATAAAAGTCTATCAATGGATTCCTCTTATGGATTCTTAAGTGCTACATACAAAAATGATCCTGAGGGTCACTGAATACTAGAAGTCTCATAGTTACTGTTGATGTAAATGTGACTGATAAGCAAGTACTGGAAAGCAGAGGTGTCACTGGAAGGAAAAAGTACAAAACTGCGTCTCACTTATTTTGGCCATGTCATCAGGGGAACTCACTAGAGAAAGCAATTATATTTGGAAGAGTTAGCAGTAAAAGAAAACCAAAGGACACAGTGGCTGGACACTCAAAGCGGACGCCAGCAAAGGTATAGAACAACTCAAAGAAGTAGTGCAAGATTAGAAGGTGTAGAGAGACCTGGACATTAGAATCACCAAAAGTCAGACAGGATTGAATGGATAATATTATTACCAGTACTTTGATTAGGAAAGTGTGCACAGACCTTCTAATTTCTATATTATTATCTAGCTAACAGCAAATACTAAACTGTCTTAATACATAAAGGGTTTCGCCAGTGCATGTATATTATAGGGCTTTGAAAGGCACAAATAATATAAATGGACATAAAGTTGTAATGTGCTAACATTTTAATGTTAAAATTAAATAAATAGAGATTACAACAGAATCCTTTCATGGATTCTTTTGATGTTTATTAATACAGTATTTAAAACCACTGCTCTTTTGGACTACCAGAGACAGGGTAAAAAAGTGTTATGGATGTTCTTACACAATGACTATAATTGTGAGAATGACTAGTAGAAAACATCTCTTTGCCAGAAGGCAAAACTGCGGAGGCTAAAAAAAGGTGACTTACTAGAGAAACAAAATACAAGGCAGAAGAGGCTGAGCAATAATAAATAAAGCTATTATTTTTAAACTGTAGTTTTCTGTTCCACTATATACCGCCTTATATAATACAATGAATTGTAGAAAATTCTTGTTTTGTATGAATTATATAAATTTACTCCTTGATTCACCAAGGAACTTGAGGAAATAAAATAATGGTAGCAACATCTAGACCAGGGGTCCCCAACCCTCGGGCCGCAGCCCACTATTGGGCTTTGAGCCTTTCAGAAATGGGCTGTGAAAGTGGTAGGCAAGCACAGGTGGAACCATCCTCCTCCCTTCACCAGTCCGCAAACCTTGAAAAGGTTTGGGAACTCTGATCTAG